GGGGGGGGAGGGGCCTCGGCTTTTCCTGCCCCTCCCCCCTTTGCCATCCCATCCCCCCCCACCCCCGCAGATGGCAAATAAACGCAGGAGTCACGTGACCGCTGGCCTCGTTAATTGATTAATTCATTCATTAATTAATTACCGTTTAATGAGCTCGGCTCGAGGAGGGGAAGCGGGAATGGAGCGGCTCGGGGAGGGGCTCCCGGGGGATCCCGGCTCCTCCAGCGGCTCCAAACCGGGAAAACCGCGGGGAAAATGGGGAAAAAACGGCGGAATTCGGGATCGGCGCCGCGCGCGGGGGCTGCTGGGAGCGGCATGCAAATGAGGCAGCGCCGCGGCCAATGGGAATCGGTCAATTCAGGCCGGTATGTAAATGAGGCATCGCGGGTGCTGCCGGGAGTGATATGCAAATCTACCGGCGGGACGGCCAATGGCGGGATCAGATATTATGCAAATGAAGCAGCGCGGCGACCAATAGAGAGCTGGCGGGAAGCTGAGAGTATGCAAATAAATCACGGCGCCAGCCAATGGGAGGCGCACAGCTAGCTGTCAGTATGCAAATCAGCACACGGTTCAGCCAATGGGCGCTGGGCGCGGGCGGAGGAAGCCCCGCCCCTCGCGCTGCCCGCCGGGCGGAAGCGGCGCCAGAAAAAAAAAGGGAAAAGGCGGAAAAAGACAAAAAAAAAGCGGCGGCGGCTGAAAATGGCGGAAAATTTAAAAGGTGGCGCGAGCGGGGCGGGCCCGAGGGGTCTCCGGGGGAGCGTGAGGGGGAGAACGCGGGCGGGGGGCGCTCTGAGGGGGCGGCGGCGCTTCCCGCGCGCGGCCGTTGGCGCCTGAGGGAAGCGGGGCAGGAACTCACCCAGGAACCCCAAACCAGGACCCCCCACAGACACTGGGAACCCAGCCAGGACCCCCAAACCGGGAAATGACACCCCAAGAATCTCTGACCCTGTCAGGCCCCAGAGGGTCCCTGGGCACTGGGGTCACTGCAGGACCCCCCAGACCTCGTGAGACCCCCAGAGTCCCCCAGATTCCTGTGTCCCTCCTGACCTTGTGAGACCCCACAGGGTGTCCAGATACTGGGGTCACTCTAGGACCCTCCTGATCTTGTCAGACCCCAAAGGATCCCCACAATGGGGTCACTGCAGGACCCCCCAGACCTCGTGAGACCCCCAGAGTCCCCCAGATTCCTGTGTCCCTCCTGACCTTGTGAGACCCCACAGGGTGTCCAGATACTGGGGTCACTCTAGGATTGGGGTCACTCTAGGACCCTCTTGATCTTGTGAGACCCCAAAGGATCCCCACAATGGGGTCACTCCAGGACCCCCCAGACCTTGTGAGACCCCCAGAGTCCCCCACATTCCTGAGTCCTTCTTGACCTTGTGAGACCCCACAGGGTGTCTTTGGACATTGGGGTCACTCGAGGATCCCCCAGACCTCATGAGACCCTCAGAGTCCCCCACATTCCTGTGTCCCTCCTGACTTTGTGAGACCCCACAGGGTGTCCAGATACTGGGGTCACTCTAGGATTGGGGTCACTCTAGGACTGCAGGACCCCCGTCAGACCCCAAAGGATCCCCACAATGGGGTCACTGCAGGACCCCCCAGACCTCATGAGACCCTCAGAGTCCCCCACATTCCTGTGGCCCTCCTGACCTTGTGAGACCCCACAGGGTGTCCAGATACTGGGGTCACTCTAGGATTGGGGTCACTCTAGGACCCTCCTGACCTCGTCAGACCCCTGAGTGCCCCCAAACCCTGGAATCCCCAAGATTCCTGGGTCCCTCCTGACCTTGTGAGACCCCACAGGCTCTCTGGACACTGGGGTCACCCCAGGAAACCCCTGACCCTATTAGACCCCAAAGGGTCCCTGGACATTGGGGTCACTTTAGGACTCTCCTGACCTCATCAGACCCCAGAAGTCTCTGGACACTGGGGTCACTCTAGGACCCCCTGATCCTATTAGGCCCCAAAGGACCCCCATAATGGGGTCACTCCAGGACCCCCCAGACCCCATGAGACCCTCAGAGTCCCCCACATGCCTGTGTCCCTCCTGACCTGGTGAGACCCCACAGGCTCTCTGGACACTGGGGTCATTCTAGGATTGGGGTCACTCCAGGACCCCCCTGACCTCATGAGACCCCTGGGTGCCCTAAATCCTGGACTCCTCCAGATTCCTCAGTCCCCGCTGACCTTGTGAGACATTGGGGTCACCCCAGCACTTTCTGAGCCCCCAGCCGGGGGTCCCCACTGCCCACCCCCATACCCCAACCCCTCGTTATCCCCCCCCACAGGACGAGGAGTTCTACCTGGTGAAGTGGCGCGGTTACCCCTCCTCCGCCAACACCTGGGAGCCGCGCCGCAACCTGCGCTGCCGCGGGCTGCTGCACCCAGAAGTCTCTGGACACTGGGGTCACTCTAGGACCCCCTGATCCTATTAGGCCCCAAAGGACCCCCATAATGGGGTCACTCCAGGACCCCCCAGACCTCATGAGACCCTCAGAGTCCCCCACATTCCTGTGTCCCTCCTGAGACCCCACAGGCCCTCTGGACACTGGGGTCACCCCAGGACTGTCCTGACCTGGTGAGACCCCAAAGGACCCCCACAATGGGGTCACTGCAGGACCCCCCAGACCTCATGAGACCCTCAGAGTCCCCCACATGCCTGTGTCCCTCCTGACCTGGTGAGACCCCACAGGCTCTCTGGACACTGGGGTCATTCTAGGATTGGGGTCACTCCAGGACCCCCCTGACCTCATGAGACCCCTGGGTGCCCTAAATCCTGGACTCCTCCAGATTCCTCGGTCCCCGCTGACCTTGTGAGACATTGGGGTCACCCCAGCACTTTCTGAGCCCCCAGCCGGGGGTCCCCACTGCCCACCCCCATACCCCAACCCCTCGTTATCCCCCCCCACAGGACGAGGAGTTCTACCTGGTGAAGTGGCGCGGTTACCCCTCCTCCGCCAACACCTGGGAGCCGCGCCGCAACCTGCGCTGCCCTGGCGCAGAAGGCGGAGCAGCGGCGGGCGCTGCGGCGCTGGGAGCGCCACCTGAACCGCACGCGCAGCCACCGCGGCCGCATCGCCGTGGAGAACGAGGTGGACCTGCACGGGCCGCCCCGCGACTTCGTCTACGTCAACGAGTACAAGGTGGGCGCGGGCGTGGCGCTGACCCCCGTGGCGGCCGGCTGCGAGTGCCGGGACTGCCTGGCCGAGGCCACGCTGGCCGGGGGCTGCTGCCCCGGCGCCTCGCGCAACAGGTTCGCCTACAACGAGGCCGGGCAGGTGCGGATCCGGGCGGGGCTGCCCATCTACGAGTGCAACTCGCGCTGCCGCTGCGGCGCCGAGTGCCCCAACCGCGTGGTGCAGCGCGGCATCCGCTACGACCTGTGCATCTTCCGCACCGGCGACGGGCGCGGCTGGGGCGTGCGCACATTGCAGCGCATCCGCAAGAACTCCTTCGTCATGGAGTACGTGGGGGAGGTGAGTGCCACAGGTGTGGGACAGGTGTGTGGGACACTACAGGTGTGTGTGACAGGTGTGACACAGCACAGGTGTGTCTGACAGGTGTGACACAGTACAGGTGTGCCCAGATGTGTGGGGTAGTCCAGGTGTGCCCCAGGTGTGACATGGTGCAGGTGTGCCCAGGTGTGTGGGGTGGGTCAGGTGTGCCCAGGTGTGTGACAGGTGTGTCCCTGTCCCAGATCATCACCTCGGAGGAGGCGGAGCGCCGGGGACAGGTGTACGACCGCCAGGGCGCCACGTACCTGTTCGACCTGGACTACGTGGAGGACGTGTACACCGTGGACGCCGCCCACTACGGCAACATCTCGCACTTCGTCAACCACAGCGTGAGTCGGCTCACCTGGGCTCAGGTGGGCTCACCTGGGCTCAGGTGGGCTTAGCTGGGCTCAGGTGTGGCTTTGTGTACACCGTGGACGCCGCCCACTACGGCAACATCTCGCACTTCGTCAACCACAGCGTGAGTCGGCTCACCTGGGCTCAGGTGTGGGCTCACCTGGGCTCAGGTGGGCTTAGCTGGGCTCAGGGGTGGCTTTACCTGGGCTCAGGTGTGGCTTTACCTGGTTCAGGTGTGGGTTTACCTGGGCTCAGGTGTGGCTTTACCTGGGCTCAGGTGTGGTTTTACTTGCCACAGGTGTGGTTTTACCTGCCATAGGTGTGGTTTTACCTGGGCTCAGGTGTGGTTTTACCTGGTTCAGGTATGGGTTTACCTGGGCTCAGGTGTGGCTTTGCCTGGGCTCAGGGGTGGTTTACCTGGGCACAGGTGTGCTTTACCTGGGCTCAGGTGTGGCTTTACCTGCGCTCAGGTGTGGGTTTACCTGGGCTCAGGTGTGGCTTTACCTGCCCACAGGTGAGGCTATACCTGCTCACAGCTGCGCCTTTACCTGTGCAGAGGTGTGGCCTTACCTGCCTTGTGGGTGGAGCTCCCAGCACCTTTTCCCCCAGCTGGGGGTGTGGCTCACCTGCCAGGTGTGGCTCACCTGTTGGGGTGGGTCAGGAGCTGTGGGTGTGGCTCACCTGGGGGGTGTGGCTCACCTGGGGGTGGGGCTCACCTGGGGGCGGGGCTCACCTGCCAGGTGTGCCTCACCTGCCGGGCGGGGCAGTGTGACCCCAACCTGCAGGTGTACAACGTGTTCATCGAGAACCTGGACCAGCGCCTGCCCCGCATCGCCCTGTTCGCCACCAGGCCCATCCGGGCCGGCGAGGAGCTCACCTTCGACTACAACATGCACGGTACTGACACACCTGTACCTGCCACACACCTGTATGTGTCCATATCACACACCTGTACCTGGCACACACCTGTCACACCTGTACGTGTCCATGTCACACACCTGTCCCTGCCCCCAGGCCCATCCGGGCCGGCGAGGAGCTCACCTTCGACTACAACATGCACGGTACTGACACACCTGGCACACACCTGTACCTGGCACACACCTGTCCCTGTCACACCTGTCCCTGGCACACCTGTACCTGTCACACCTGTACCTGTCACACCCCTGTCACACACCTGTATGTGGCACACCTGTACCTGCCACACCTGTCCCTGTCACACCTGTACCTGTCACACCTGTCTTGCACAGACCTCCCTCCCCTCAGCTCACCTGCACTGTGGGGTCAGGGGCACACCTGGGGGCTCCTGGCTGTACCTGGAGAGTTCTTGGGCACACCTGGAGGGTTCCTGGTCACACCTGGGGGGCTCCTGGGCACACCTGGGGGGTTCCAGGCCACACCTGGGGGGTTCCAGGCTGTACCTGGGGGGTTCCAGGCCACACCTGGGATGCCCAGGCTGTACCTGGGAGGCTCAGAGCCACACCTGGGGGGTCAGGGGCACACCTGGAGGGTGCCAGGCTGTACCTGGGGGTTCCTGGGCACACCTGGGGGGTTCCTGGGCACACCTGGGGGGTTCCTGGGCACACCTGGGGGGGTTCCAGGCTGTACCTGGGGGTTCCTGGGCACACCTGGGGGTTCCCGGGCACACCTGGGGGGTTCCAGGCTGTACCTGGGGGCTTCCTGGGCACACCTGGGGGTTCCTGGGCACACCTGGCCCGCCCCAGGTGCAGCTGAGCACACCTTTCCCCGCAGTGGACCCCGTGGACGCCGAGAGCACCCGCATGGACTCCAACTTCGGGCTGGTGGGGGGGTCCCTGGGGGGCTCCCCCCGCGCCCGCGGCCGCATCGAGTGCAAGTGCGGGGCGGCCTCGTGCCGCAAGTTCCTGTTCTGAAACACCTGGGCCACACCTGGGCCACACCCACCGCACACCTGGGCCACGCCTCCACTGCCGCCCGCAGCGCCTGGGGGGTGGGGGGGGTTCTGAGGGGGTTTGGGGGACCCCAGGTGGGGTTTGGGGGATCCCAGGTGGGTTTTGGGGGGCTCCAGGTGGGGTTTGGGGGGCTCCAGGTGGGGTTTGGGTATATAATTTTATAGCAGCAAAAGGAAAAATGCAGTGTGCACTAATTATTTTTATGGCAAATTAATAAAATCATCTGATAGGAAGGAACATATTCTCTCCTTTTGCTCCCTCAAACTGGCTCCCTACTTGCTGTCCTGTAAAACTGCAACATAAGTACTCTGTAAGGCTGCCCCTGATCCTCAAAAGATCAAAGCAGCCTCTTCATAGAGGACTGAACTGTGCAGGGCCAGCAGTACATGCTACAATAAATATCTGAGCATCCATTGTTTATCAAGGACTAAGGAGAGCAGAAGGTTATATTAAAGAAGAAAAGTGCCACACGATGACAACACCTGTGCAGTTCTAAGGCCGTGCTGGGGGAATTTTGGGGGTTCCAGGTGGGTTTTGGGGGTCTCCAGGTGTGCTGGGGGTGCCACACGATGGCACCTGGAGCCATGGAGGTCCCACTGGGGCAGTTTTGGGGGGGTCCCAGGGGGGGTTTGGGGATGTTTTGGGGGGGGTCTGTGGATTTTGGGGAGAGGCTGAAGGGTTTTGGGAAAGGTTTCGGAGGTTTTGGGGTCACACGGCGCTGCCAAACCTCAAGAACCAGACTGGGTGGACTGAGGGAATTTTGGGGGAGTTTTGGGATTTTTGGGGTGGTTTTGAGGAAGATTTTAAGAAGGATTTTAAGGTATTTTGGGGGGTGTTTTGGGAAAGATTTTGAGGTATTTTGGGAAGGATCTTGGGTGTTTTGGGCAGGATTTGGGGGGATGTTTTGGGTAGGACTTTGGGGCATTTTGGGCAGGATTTGTGGTTTTTTTGGGAAGGATTTTGGGTTTTTTTGGGAAGGATTTTGGGGCATTTTGGGCAGGATTTGTGGGTTTTTTGGGAAGGATTTTGGGGCATTTTGGGCAGGATTTTGGAGGGTGTTTTGGGCAGGATTTTGGGGGATGTTTTGGGCAGGATCTTGGGGTGTTTTGGGCAGGATTTTGGGATTTTTTGGGAAAGATTTTGGGGTTTTTTGGGAAGGATTTTGGGGTGTTTTGGACAGGATTTTGGGGGGGTGTTTTGGGCAAGATTTTAAGGTATTTTGGACAGGATTTTGAGATGTTTTGGGCAGGATTTCTGGGTATTTTGGACAGAATTTTGAGGGGTTTTGGGCAGGATTTTGGGGTATTTTGGGCAGGATCTTGGACGGTGTTTTGGGCAGGATTTTGAGGTGTTTTGGGCAGGATTTTGAGGTGTTTTGGGCAGGATTTTGGGGCATTTTGGTGCCGCACGCCGCTCTCAAAACTCCGCACTCTGAGGCCACGCGTGGCATTTCGGGCTGGTTTTTGGGGTATTTTGGGGTGCTCTGGGGGTATTTCCAGGCAGATCTGGGGGCTCTCCGTGGCGATCTGGGGCGCCTCAGGCGTGCTGGCGCCGCCAGACGATGACGGTGCCGGCGGCGTCCCCCGAGGCCAGCAGGGACTCGTCGCAGTTGAAGGCCACGGCCAGCACGGCGGCCCCGTGGCCCTGCAGCGTGTTCACCGTGGCCCGCGCCGCGCGCCCCACGTCGAAGAAGTGCACGGAGGCGTCCTCGCTGCCCGTCACTGCGGGGACACGGGGACATTGGGGACATGAGGGACAGGGGTGAGAGATGGGATCCCATCGATCCCCTCGCTGCCCGTCACTGCCGGGGACACGGGGACATTGGGGGCATCAGGGACATCAAGGATATTGGGGACAGGAGTCGGGATGTGATCCCACTGACCCCCTTGCTGCCCGTCAGTGTGGGGACATCAGGGACATTGAGGACACGAGGGACAGGGGTGAAGGATGGGATCCCACTGACCCCCTTGCTGCCCATCAGTGTCTGTCACTGTGGGGACATCAGGGGCATTGGGGACAGTGATAAGGGATGGCACCCAACTGCCCTCCTTGCTGCCCCTCACTGTGGGGACACTGGGGACACGGATAAGGAATGTGATCCCACTGACCCCCTCACTGCCTGTCATTGTTGGGGACATCGGGGACACTGGGGACAGGCTCAGGGCTGAGATTTCAGTGCCCCCCTCGCTGCCCGGCACTCTTGGGGACAACAAGGACAGCTGTGACCTCCCTGCTGCCTGTCACTGCCTGGGGACATGGGGACATGGCTGGGGGGTGGCGCTGTCCCTGCGCCCACCCATCCCTCCCAGTCCATCCCAGTTTGTCCCAGTCTCTCCCAGTCCATTCCCAGTTTGTCCTGTTCATTCCCAGTCCCTCCCAGTCCATTCCCAGTCCCTCCCAGTCCATTCCAGTTTGTCCCAGTCCCCCCCAGTCCGTCCCAGTGCTCCCAGTGCTCACCCACGCAGGCTCCCTGCCGGAAGGACATCAGGGGGCAGAAGCAGCTCCTCAGGGGCTGCTCCCGGTGCCGCGTGGGGAAACTGCGCCGGAGCCGCAGCCCCGGGGCGCCCGAGCCCCCCTCGTCCTCCACCACCCTGGCGTGGGGGGAAAGGGGTTAGAAACACCCAAAAATCAACCAAAAAACCCCAAAAATCACCCCAAAAACCCTCCCGAGTCATCCTCGTCCTCCACCACCCTGGGGTGGAGAAAAAATTATCAGAAACACCCAAAATCACCCCAAAAATGACCTCAAAATGACCCCGAGCTCCCTTCATGCTCCACCACCCTGGGCAGGGGGAAACAGGGTCAGAAAAACCCAAAAAAAACCCCAAAATCGCCCCAAAAACCCTCCTGAGCCCTCATCATTCACCACCCTGGAGGGACCAAACAAGGGGTCACAAATACCCAAAAATCACCCCAAAAACCCTCCTGAGCCCTCATCATCCTCCACCACCCTGGAGGGACCAAACAAGGGGTCACAAATACCCAAAAATCACCCCAAAAACCTCCCAGGACCAGAAGAGCAGCAGGCGGTCAGGGTGGGCGTTCACCGGCAGCGATGGATCCAGTTCACCCCAAATCCCCCAATCCCCCAGCCCCTCCTCAGCCCCCCAAAGGTTCCCCGATGTCCCCCCGATGTCCCCAAGCCCCCCCGATGTCAGGGGCTGGGGGGGCACCCTAAAACCATCCCGAGACCCCAAAACCCACCCTGAGACCCCCAAACCCATCCTGAGACCCCCTAAACCCACCCCAGTGTCCCCCCAAGCCGCCTTGCCCGTGGAGATGTTCACCACGTGCACCATGTGCCGGGCACTGCCCACCTGGGGGGCACAAACCTGCCTGAGACCCCCCAAATCCCCCCCAAACCTGCCCCAAGACCCCCAATTCCGCCCCAAAATCCACCCCGGTGCCGCCCTGAGCCGCCTTGCCCGTGGAGATGTTCACCACGTGCACCATGTGCCGGGCACTGCCCACCTGGGGGGCAAAGAGGGGCTGGGGGGGCACCCTGGGACCCCCAAACCCATCCTGAGACCCCAAAACCCACCCTGAGACCCCCAAAATCCTCCCCGAGCCGCCTTGCCCGTGGAGATGTTCACAACCCGCACCATGTGCTGGGCACTGCCCACCTGGGGGGCAGGGGGGAGGGTCACTCGGAGACCCCCAGACCCCCCCCAAGACCCCCAAAGCTGCCCGAGCCTGAAACGTTTGAGGGTCCCAGGAGGGGCTCTCAGAGCTGGGATGTTCAGGGTGTTTTTTGGGGTACTTTAGGGTATTTTGGGGTTTCTCTCACCACGGTCAGGTTGTTGTTGAGCGGCTGGAACGCACAGCACAGCAGCGCAGGGGTGGGTTTGGGGGGATGTTTGGGGGTCCCAGGAGGGGCTCTCAGGGCTGTGACATTTTTAAGCTATTTTAGGGCAGTTTTAGGATATTTTGGGGTTTCTCTCACCATGGTCAGGTTGTTGTTGAGCGGCTGGAAGGCGCAGCACAGCCCCGTTGGGGTTGGGTTTGGGGGGATGTTTGGGGGTCCCAAGAGGGGCTCTCAGGGCTGTGATGTTCAGGGTGTTTTTTGGGGTATTTTAGGGCAGTTTTAGTGTTTTCCTCACCACGGTCAGATTGTTATTGAGCGGCTGGAAGGCGCAGCACAGCAGCGCAGCCCCATCGAGGTCAGGTTTGGGGGGATGTTTGGGGCTCTCAGATCTCTGGGGTTTCAGGACAATTTTAGGGTATTTTAGGACAGTTTTAGGGTTTCTCTCACCACGGTCAGGTTGTTGTTGAGTGGCTGGAAGGCGCAGCACAGCAGCGCAGGGTTGGGTTTGGGGGGATGTTTGGGGGTACGGTCGGGGCAGGCGTTCACCAGCAGCGATGGATCCGGCGCCTCCCGGCTGGCCCAAGCCCGGGCCGAGAGCGACGTGATGGAGCCGCCGGCCTGGACCAGCACCCGCGAGGCCTTGGTCAGCCGGCCTGGGGGGCAGGCAGTGAGACCCCCCCTCAAAATACCCCACAGTGCCCCCCAGGACCTCACAGTGCCCCCCAGTACAGCCCCAGTACTGCCCAGTGCCCCCTGGACCAGCACCTGCAAGGCCTTGGTCAGCTGGCCTGGGGGGGCAGGGAGGGAGACCCCCCCAAAAAACCACTTAACACTGCCCCAGTGCCCCCCAGTACAGCCCCAGTGCCTCCCAGTGCACCCAGTACTGCCCAGTGCCCCCTGGACCAGCACCTGCAAGGCCTTGGTCAGCTGGCCTGGGGGGGCAGGGAGGGAGACCCCCCAAAAAACCACCTAACACTGCCCCAGTGCCCCCCAGTACAGCCCCAGTGCCCCCCAGTACAGCCCCAGTGCCTCCCAGTGCAGCCCTAGTGCCTCCCAGTACCAACCAGTGCCCCCCAATCCCTCCCAGTGCCCGCCTGGACCCGCACTGGCAAAGCCTTGATCAGCCAGCCTGGGGGGGGGAGGATGTGGGACACCCCCAGTGCCACCCAGTACAGCCCAGTGCCCCCCAGTTGCTCTGTACCCACCCCCCAGTGTCCCCCAGTCTGTCCCAGTGCCTCCCAGTGCCAGGGTCAAACAGGGAAGACACGGACTGCCCGTTGTCCCCCAGTCCCTCCCAATCCCTTCCCAGTCCATCCCAATCCTTTTCCAGTCCCTCTCAGTCCCTCCCAGTCCATCCCAGTCCTTCCCAGTACCCTCCATCCCCTCCCAGTCCCTCCCAATCCCTTTCCCTGTCCATCCCAAACCCTTTCCCAATCCATCCCAGTCCCTCCAATCCATCCCAGTCCATCCCAGTCCCTCCCAGTCCCTTTCCCAATCCCCTCCCACTCCATCCCAGTCCCTCCCAGTGCCCCCCAGTGCCGGTACCGGTGCCGGGGTCGCACAGGAACGAGGACACGGAGCCGCGGTCGTCCCCGGCCCACAGGACGCGCCCGGGGGCGTCGAAGCAGAGGGCGAGGACGCGCCCGGGGAGGCGCCCGGTGCCGCCGCGAGCCGCCTTGCCCGTGGACCCAGACCCTTTCAGATGACACCTGAGACCCCCCCCCAGACCCCTCTCAGGGGACGCCTGAGACCCCTCAGCTGCTCTCAGGGAATACCTCAGACCCCTCAGTCCCCCTCAGATGACAGCCGAGCCCCCAGCCCCCCCCAGGGGACACCTGAGACCCCTCCAGGGGATACCTGAAGCTCCCCCAGGGACACCTGAGACCCCCCAGCCCCCCGTACCTGCGCTGTCCAGGTGCTGGTCGAAGACGTGGAACACGCCCGCGAAGGCGTAGTTCTCGCTCAGGGTGGTGTCCCCGGCCATGGCCCGGCTGGCCTCGGCCAGGGGGGTGGGCACCACCCCGGGGGGGCTGCGGGAGATGGGGGGGACAGCGTGAGACCCCCCCCAAATCGATCTGAACCCCCCCAGACTCCCTGAGCCCAACCCGGCACCCCCCCGTGCCCTGCAATGGTTTAGTCCAGGGGGGTGGGGACCCTCGTGGGGGGGAGGGGCAATGGGAGACCCCGCCCCCAGGACCCTGAGACCCCTCCCCAGGACCCTGAGACCCCTCCCCAGCACAGGCGCAGCACAGCAGCGCAGCCCCATCGGGGTCCGGCACGCGGCGGATGCAGCGCCCGTCCCCGGGGTCCCAGAGGCGCAGGGTCCCGTCCAGCGAGGCGGACACGAGCACGTCGTTGGACAGCGACCAGGCAAAGTCGGAGACGCCGGCGCCGTGGCCGCGGAGCCGCCGCAGCACGGCCGGGGGCCCGGGGGCCAGGCGGCACACGGACAGCGTCCCGTCCAGGGAGCAGCACGCCAGCAGGTGCCGCTCGTCGTGGGCAAACTGCACCTTCCGCACTGGGGGGAAAGGGGAGACCCCTCCTCAAAATTTACAGGGCTAGGGAAGACCCCCAGAGCCAGGGGAGACCCCCCCCAAAACAAAAAGTCCCCCCCAGAGCTGGGGGAGCCCCCAGACCCTGCAAAAAACTGAGGCTCCTGCCCTGGGGAGGGACATGGGGGACAGCTGAGACCCCCCAGGGGACAGCTGAGACCCCCCCAGACCCCCTCAGGGTCACCCCAGGGACACCTGAGACCCCCCCAGGGGACACCTGAGCCCCCCCAGGCTCCCCCAGTGGACACCTGAGACCCCCCAAATCTCCTGCCCTGGGGAGGGACATGGGGGACAGCTGAGACCCCCCAGGGGACAGCTGAGACCCCCCCAGACCCCCTCAGAGTCACCCCAGAGACACCTGAGACCCCTCCAGGGGACACCTGAGCCCCCCCAGGCTCCCCCAGTGGACACCTGAGACCCCCCAAATCCCCCTGAGGCCCCACCAAGGACACCTGAGATTGGCGCTGCGCCAGGAGCCGCGCCCGCAGCCGCAGGTACCAGCGCCGCGCCTCGCCCGCCAGGTGCCCGCCCTGCGCCCGCTCCCGCAGCAGCTGCGAGCGCCGCCGCACGTACTGCGTGCGGAACTGCGGCAGCTGCGGCGTGCGGTACGCCGCGTACCTGCGACAGGTGAGACACAGGTAAGGGACAGGTGAGACAAGGGATAAACAGGTAAAAAATGGGGTTAATTCCACCCAAAACCAGAGAAATTCCACCCAAAACCAGCCCCAGGTGTGCAGAACTGTGGCAGTTGTGGGATGTAGCACACTGCACACCTGCACAGGTGAGACAGGTGAGGAACACATGAGAAACAGGTTAGGGACAGGTAAAAAAATGGGGTTAATTCCACCCAAAACCAGAGAAATTCCACCCAAAACCAGCCCCAGGTGTGCGGAACTGCGGCAGATGTGGTGTGCGGTACGCCGCGTACCTGAGGGACAGGTGAGACACAGGTGAGACAGGTGACAAACAGGTGAGGAACAGGTGAGACAGGGGAGATAGGGGAGAGACAGGTGAGAAATGGGGTTAATTCCACCCAAAACCAGAGAAATTCCACCCAAAACCAGACCCAAACACGCGGAACTGTGGCAGATGTGGTGTGCGGTACGCCGCGTACCTGGGACAGGTGAGACGGGGAAAAACAGGTAAAAAATGGGGTCAATTCCACCCAAACCCAGAGAAATTCCACCCCAAAATAGGCCCAAAAATGCAGAACTGCGGCAGCTGTGGGATGCAGTACACTGCACACCTGCACAGGTGGGACAGGTGAGAGAGGTGAGGAATGGGTTCAATCCCACCTAAAACCAGAAAAATTCCACCCAAAAATCGACTCAAGAACGTAGAACTGTGGTAGCTGCGGCGTGCGGTACACTGCACAGGGCCGGGGGCCGGTGCCCCCCCCGAGGATGCCGCTGGCCGTGCAGTGGCCGTTCCCCGCGGAGCCGTCGCGGCGCTGGGCCCTGGCGAGCCGCGTGGTCACGGGCCTGGTGGGCACCTACAGCTGCGTGTGGACCCGTGAGTGACCCCCCCAAATCCCGGGTATGAGGGGAGACCGCCCCCAAATCCCGGTTGTGAGGGGAGACCGCCCCCAAAATCCCGGGTATGAGGGGAAACCCCCCCCAAATCCCGGTTCTGAGGGGAGACCCCCCCCAAATCCCGGTTATGAGGGGAAACCGACCCCAAGATCCCTGTTCTGAGGGGAGACCCCTCCCCAAATCCCGGTTGTGAGGGGAAACCCCCCCCAAAAATCCCGGGTATGAGGGGAAACCCCCCCCAAAATCCCGGGTATGAGGAGAGACACCCCCCAAATCCCGGTTATGAGGGGAAACCCCCCCCAAATCCCGGGTATGAGGGGAAACTGCCCCCAAAATCCTGTTTTGAGGGGAGACACCCCCCCAGATCCCAGTTCTGAGGGGAGACCCCTCCCCAAAAAATCCTGCCTTGTCATCCCCAGAGCCAATCTGGGCGGGGGTCCCATTCCTTTATCTGCTCCCTCCCCCCCCAAATAAGTCTGGGACCCCCCAAATCCTTTCAGATCCTCGGGACCACCCCCCAAATATATTTGGGACCCCTCCCCAAACAACCCTGGCTCCTTTAGGATCCCCCAAAACCCTTCAGACCCCCCCAGGACCCCCCCAAATTCCTCCTCCAACCCCTTTGGAACCCCTTGGGACCCCCTGGGGACCCTCTGGGGCCCCTTGGGGACCCTCCCAACTCCCTTAAACCTCCTTGAGGACCCCCCAGGACCCCCCAAAACCCTTCAGACCCCACCCAAATTCCCCAATCGCTCTCCAGACCCCTCCCCGGGACCCCCCATCACTCTCCAGACCCCCCTGGGACCCCCCAAAACCCTTCAGACCCCCCCAGAACCCTGGGGGTCCCTGGGCTGTTTTTGGGGCACTCCTGGGGGAGTTTTGGGGTGTTCCAGGGATATTTTTGAGGTGGTTTTGGGCCGGTTTTGTGCTGTTTTTGGGGTGTCCCGGGGTTGTTTTTGGGGTGGTTTTGGGGGCTGGTTTTGGGGGTCTTTGGGGGTGTTTTTGGGGTGTCCCTGGGGGGTATTTTTGAGGTGGTTTTGGGGTGTTCTGGGGCTGTTTTGGGGTGGTTTTGGGGGTCTCTGGGCTGGTTTTGGGGTGTCCCGGGGCAGTTTTGTGCTGTTTTTGGGGTGGTTTTGTGCTGTTTTTGGGGTGTCCTGGGGCAGTTTTGTGCTGTTTTTGGGGTGGTTTTGTGCTGTTTTTGGGGTGGTTTTTTGCTGTTTTTGGGGTGTTTGTGGGGGCTGGTTTTGGGGTGTCCCGGGGCTGTTTTTGGGGTGTTTGTGGGGGCTGTTTTTGGGGCTGTTTTGTGCTGTTTTTGGGGTGTTTTTGTGCTGTTTTTGGGGGTCTCTGGGCTGGTTTTGGGGTGTCCCAGGGCAGTTTTGTGCTGTTTTTGGGGTGGTTTTTTGCTGTTTTTGGGGCTGTTTTGTGCTGGTTTTGGGGTGGTTTTGTGCAGTTTTTGGGGTGTCCCGGGGCTGTTTGGGGGTCCCAGCGCCCCCTCCCCACATTTCCCCCCCAGGACCCCCACGGCCGCTGACATTTGCTTCACGCGGGAGCTGCACGCGCTCTTCTTCAGCCTGGGGCGCTGCGTGCCCGTCTGCCGCGGTGACTGGGGGAACTGGGAGGGACTGGGAGGGACTGGGGGGGACTGGGAGGGACTGGGAGCACTGGGAATGGGACTGGGGGGGACTGGGAGCACTGCGTGCCCGTCTGCCGCGGTGACTGGGGGAACTGGGAGGGACTGGGAGGGACTGGGGGGGACTGGGAGGGACTGGCAGCACTGGGAATGGNTCTGCCGCGGTGACTGGGGACACTGGGAGGGACTGGGAGGGACTGGGAGCACTGGGAGGGACTGGGAGCACTGGGAATGGACTGGGAATGGACTGGGGGGGACTGGGAGTGCTGCGTGCCCGTGTGCCGCGGTGACTGGGAGCACTGGGAGGGACTGGGAATGGACTGGGGGGACTGGGACAAACTGGGAGGGACTGGGAATGGATTGGGAGCACTGGGAATGGGACTGGGAATGGGACTGGGAGGGACTGGGAATGGAGTGGGAATGGGACTGGGAGCACTGGGAGAGACTGGGATGGACTGGGGGCGACTGGGAGGGAACTGGAGGGGAACTGGGGGGGACTGGGATGGACTGGGAGGGACTGGGAATGGAACTGGGGGCGCTGTGTGCCCGTCTGCCGCGGTGACTGGGGACACTGGGAGCACTGGGAGGGTACTGGGGGGGGCTGG